TCCCTGCAAACGGTCAATGAATAAACACATCCCTGCCTGCGTGCCTACCGGCCTCCCTGCCTGCCTGGCAGCCTTGCTAAACCTACCTATTCACCTAACTAACCAGCTACTGACCGACCTACACCCACCTAAGGTACGCGCAAGTGCATACATACATACATACATACATACATACATACATACATACATACCTCCATACATACACATACATACATATGTATATATGTGTAAATATATGTGTATATATATATATATAATATTATAATATATAATACATTATAGTATAATATATAGAATATTATCTATATATTTGTATATACATATACATACACATGCGCATACACATATGCGCAGATACTTGTTACATTACTTGCATATTGCCTTCATTCCTGCATACTTTTCTTCCTTGCTTGCTTGCGCGCATACATACGTACATGTGGACGTACATCATCATCATCATCATCATCATCATCATCATGACCATGACCATGACCATCATCATCATCATCATACGCATACATGAGTATACACCTGCATATGCAAACTTTGGCGTTGGTGGGCCGGAGGCCCAATTTGAAAGGCCTCTTGCCCGGCAGCCAAATCGGCCTGGTGGACTGGACCTGCACTCCTGGGCTTTGGTTTTAGGGTTTAGGGTTGCCAACTCGTGTTTCGGCGCACACATGCGGACGAGTTCGGGCTCAGGCTGGACAGCATCTACGACATCTACGATTTGTTAAAAAGCTTCGTGACATACAGCTCAGGAATTTTGAGCTCCGTGGGTGTTTGATCTCCAACGGAGGGTTTGAGGCGGTTTGAGGATGTCGGACAGGGGTCTGGAGCTGATTCGGTCCGCTCTAGTTGGGTGTGACTTGGTCTGGCTTTGCGCACGGTATGCCTTGGAGCAAGATTCCGGTCGCCCGGGCTACTGTTCCGACTGTTCCCTCGCAACTCCTCTCCTTCTTTGAGGCAACGTTTTAGGGTCGCGGGTTGTTTATGGTTTATGAGGTTGAGGGGTTTATTGAAAGCCCGAAAGCCCGCATTGTGGAGTCAGGATAATATCTACACCGACGGTTGCAAGACGGGCAGAAGAACAAACAGAACTCTCACAGTTGGGGCTCAGAATTCTCATTTGTATACCGAACCCAGCCGAACCGCTGAATGGCAACGCGCAACAAAACCACAAAAGTCGTCTCGACTGACTCAGCGGACTCCATCCGCAGTTCACCCCACTGCTAGAACCAGCCATGTGAGAACACGTCAACTGGCAGATAAGCCTGAACAAGTCCAAAGCCTTACAAGCAGTGACCCATTGAAAAAGGCCCAACACATAACTTAAAGTAAACCCTAAACATCCCCTTCCTAAGCCCTAAGCATCCCTAAACCACAAAATGTTCGCCCACTGAGATTCTTTGTGGTCTTGTCCGGGCCCTTGGGCGCAGCATCAGGTTTTGCCACGGCGTCGGCTTTCCCGTCTGATGCCTTGGGAGCCTTTGCTTCGGAGTGCCAGCATGCAAAAAGCAACAGTAGCTTCGGCGTTCGGGGTTTAGCTTTTGCTTATCTCGGAAGGGGGCCTCGTTGTATCATGATGTATCATGCATAACGATGTCAAGAAAAAAGTGATGTTGGTCTGAAAGTCGACAGCAGGGGTCTTCCACCTGAAACACCCCGCTTAGATTTTTTTGCGGCTTTTGCGCTTGAGGTTTGAGGCAGTGACATTACGTGAGACACATCCTAGTTTGCTCACTGTTGCTTTTGACACAGCGCCAATCTTCAGAATCTGTTGGAAGATAAGACGTTGAGTGCTGGTTGAGACAATGCCGCTTCGTGGGGCACAGCTGATCTCTAAACACAGCAGAAACCCTCCTGCCGTCCTGCTCCCGCAAACAGGTCCAAGTAACGTACCCGGCCGCTGAAGCCGAAGAAGCTGCTGAAGAAGAGCTGCTGATCCTTCCACTGCGTGGGTTGGTAACCGTACGAGGCTCAAGAGTTCAGGGTTTCAGGCTTCAACGATGCATCCCTCTGTTGTAGAAACTATGAGTCTGTTCGACTCTGTTCATGAACGACGACGGCGAGTACTACTACAACCGGCATACTAGACCAACAACGAGCAGCAGGCCACTCCTTCAATGAGCAAACTATATAAGTGTTAACTAATTTAGCGCATGCGGTTTGGTAGAGGTTTGCAACTAATATACGTGGTAAAGATGTGCCTTTGACCCTGTTCTAATTTATTAAACCCACATTCGAAGATACTTCTTGCTCCGGGTCTCCTCGCGTCCTGCAGCATACAGTGGTTAGCCTGCTGTAATTGTCGTTCGGCTGCAATCCCTCTCTGAACCACCAGGAAAGGGAAACGCCGGTTCCACCTTTCCATTTCTGCACGGCAGGGTTTAGGGTGTATAGGGCTCAAAGGGTACTGGCATCCGTCCATTGCAGCCCTCTCTGCGATCCCTACTTCCTTCATGCAAATGCCCAGAAGCCGCCAAGCCAGATGATGGAAAACCTGCTAGTCCCAGAACCCTAGATCCCGCTCACTGAGTGGATGACGGATGGTGGAGGTCTCCCAGTCGAAAGCTAACATGAAGTTAGAATACCGAGATCTATCTCAAAAATCCCGAAACCACCACGCACGCAGTTTCGTCTGGCTTTGCCCGTACCTACCGAAGGCCCTACCAGTCCTCCGCTTTGGCTCGCCAGCCGATGTTGGGGCAGAGCTCGGCAGTGCAGATTCGCTCCTGTGATAGTGAGATCTACCTATAGTCTCCATTGTAGTTCCTTTTTGGGGATGCCTTATAAATCCTTAATATATAATTGGTGAAACCAAAAAAAGGAACTACAATGGAGACTACAGGTGAGATCTACTCGGCGAGCCCACGATCCAGCACCACCACCAACAACAACAGCGACGACGACAACCGCAGCAACCAAGCTGCACCAAAAGCACTAGCAACATGACGACCATGCCTATGACATGTTGATCTCTGTCAGCATCGCGAGATTCGTTCTCATCTTATCCCATCATCTTATCACAAGTAAAATCGTCATTAGTCGTCAAGGTCATCATCATATTCCCAGTTTGATCATAACGGGTAGGCAGCATGCAGACATGAACGTGAAGTCGTCATTCCCGCCGGCACAACAATAGAGGGTAGCCAAAGTGAGAGAAAGGCGGAAAGGGAAACCTCCGCGCGCTGAATTCAAAAAGAGGGAGCCACAAGGGAAGGCAATGCAAGCATATTCCCTAAAATTTGGGGTACAGTATATAATCCTATAATAATAATAATGATAATTATCTCAGCAACAGACCCCAACAGCGATGGAAAAACATACCGTTTGGTTCAATTTGGCGCTATGGTCTGTGTAAGAAAAACTTTCAGTCTACATCCTAACACCTAAACCCTAAACCCTAAACTCTAAACCCTGAACCCGGACCACTGTCAAAGCCCTTCGCTGGAGCACCAGTTGAGGACTGCTTTGGAGGCCAAGTTTGGCCAGCTTATG